GGGAAGGCAACCGCACAAAGGCGCCAACACATAAGAAAGAAAGAAGAGACGAAAGAAGAGAGAAAGAAGGAGAAAAGAAATAAAAGGAAGGAGGAAGGAAGGAAGAAAGAAAGGAAGAAAGAAAGAAAGAAAGAAAGAAAGAAAGAAAGAAAGAAAGAAAGAAAGAAAGAAAGAAAGAAAGAAAGAAAGTGGTGCTTCTCAAATCTGTCGATGAAGTTCCCCTTGAATCTTCTCGTTTGCACGCGTATAACGTGGCAGGGAGCCACGCCTACGCGCCCCGTCGTGCCAGGAACGGGGGCGCGAAACTTCGGAGCGCGAGTCGGGTCGCTCCGCCAGCGTCTCACCTGCGAAGTGTGCGCCCGTCTGACGGTTGCCGATCGGTGCCGTTCTCAGCCCGCTCGCGCTCCACAACAGTTTTCTCGCAGGCTCCGCTTTTGCTTTCGGTTTCGCTTGTTTCCGGTTTTCCCTGCTAAACGAAGGGCGCGCGCGCTGGCGCTCCTATTTGTGCGCGCGTTTTGGCGCGCTCGGCATCGGCTATTGTTGCGCGTGACGCGTGCGCAGACGCACCGAACGAGGAGCGCGCTGTCGAACCCGCCCCCGGCATCCCTCCTCCGCATCTCTCCTCCCGTGTTCCTCCTCGCCGTCGCTGTCGCGTACATCGCAGGTCACCGGCGGCAGTCGGGCGTTTGGCGCCGGACGTGCGGTGTGCGTCGTTTCTCTGGACGTTTCGCACTTTCCTCTGGGGCGCTGTGCGAGCACTACGAGCAGTCGTCGTCGTAGCCGGTGCCTACCGGGGACCTCGTGTGTGATCTAGTGGGCTGAGCTGTGCGCCTGAAAAATCTGAACTCATAAGAATACACAGTAAGTATTACAAAAGTAACGGTGCCATAAACTTACAGGTAGACGGCCATGCCATAGCCGAGGTTACTCAGGCCCGTATACTTGGCTTCTGGGTCCAAAGCAATGGCAAAGCCAGTCACACGATAACACCTTAAAGACTACGGTTAAACAGATAGCTAGAATGATCCGTCGCATCACTTATCATAAAAAGGCATGAAAGAAAAGGATACTCTCCGGCTTGTCCAAGCCTTAGTTTTGAGCAGAGTGGACGTATGGCCTACCGTACCACTCACTCGACAGAAGTGAGGAGAGCCAGGTGGATGTGCTCATTAGAAGCGCTTTTAAGGCAGCACTTGGTCTACCCACCAGCACACCGACCGAGCGGCTCCTAGCTCTCGGTATACATACACTTATGCTGAGCTCAGTGCCGCAGTCCTCATGTCTCAGAGGAATCGTCTAAGTGAAACTTCAGCAGGCAGGGCGATACTCACTAGAATAGGAATTTCGCCCCCCACCCACAGCACATTGATGAGGAGCTGGTCGACGTAGCCCAAGAGGGTCCGCAGGCGAATCTCAATCGCACCGGTGCCCAAAAATATGCATCACGACTTTCACGCTGAGCGACGTACTGCGAGGGTAACTGGCTTCGAAAGCAATTCGGCTCAGCTTCAAATGTCGCGTACGTCGATGCGGCCAGTTTCGATTGGCAGAGACACATACTTACTGTTGTCGACAACAACATGACGCTGCTAACGAGTGCCTCCGTACGCACGACCTCGGCTACAAAGGCGGAGACGATGGCCATAGCCTTAGCCTTAAGGTTTCAGGAGCGTAGAGGGGAGCCATCAGTATTTTATCCGACTCCCAGGAAGCCTGCCGGCTCTTTTTAAGGGGCCGCCTTCCAGCAATGGGGCTGAGGTTGCTAGGATCCAAACTCACTCACCACCATCGCTTGATCTGGTGCCCGGGACACGCAGGTCTCGAAGGCAATGAAAGGGCGGACGCTCTAGCTCGTGCGTTTTGTAACCGAGCGGAGAATCCATCTCTTCATTGACCATGCCAATTTTACTAGGGAGATTCTAGCTCACCAGCGCTTCACGCGTCAAAATGTGGAACACCTCACAGATCCCTTAATGGGAAGAGGCCACTGACCTTAGAAAAAATTCAACGGATGTATTTCCGCACCTACTGAAGTTACACGCGATACATCCAACTCTTTACCCGGCTTATGTCCGTGGTGCGGCGGAAGACCGACTCTCTACCACATATCGTGGGGTGTGCGATCGTAAACAAGTGACATAACCAATTTTCTCGGCGAACCTTTAAACACCTAGTATGGAGCAGTGGGAGGCACACCTCGCTAGCTCGGACCCAGGAGTGCAGCTCGCACTACTGGATCAAGTCCGGCGGGCGGCTAAGGCCAGTGGAGCCCTGGACGTAGGGCCCCAACCATAAAGCTCTAAAACGCCCCTCTCCCTTTCCCCTTCAATAAAGTTTTACTCTCTCTCGTGTGTGATCAAGCATCGCCAAGACTACAACGTGTCCCGAGTAGCGCCGCGCGCGCGCGCCTCCGGAGCGCGTGGTGCCGTCGACACGTGACAGCACCTCCGCGGCCAGTGGCGCTCTTTGCTTGTGCGCGCGCAAATACGGTCGTCGCTAAGTGCGGTGTCCTCCCGGCCGAAATGGGAGGTCTTCCCCGAGCCACTGTCTTGTACGCCTGGGTCCGAGTGCTGCGATCATCATGAGCTGTCTTTGCGGGCGGCGACCGTTACGCAAGTTGAGACGCGAGTACCAGCCCGTCTGACCGCTGTCCCACCACGTGCGCTTCATTCAGCGTTGCTCTGACCTCCGCGGATCCCGCTCGATTCCCGTGTGTGCATAACACCTGGTGACAAGTGATAGCGTGTGACAGCTGTGCTCGTATTTCTTCCTATGCCCAACGCGTGCTGTGCCGGATGACGCGTATGCTTTTGTGACAGAAGGGTGCCGTCTGACGATGCTAGACGAAGACGACGAAGCAGTCTGCAGTTTTGTCTTGTGCGTTTCATCGGTCCGCTGACGAGTCAGCGTTTCTGAACGCCCGCACGCACAGCTTCAATGTCACGGCGGAAGCAATCCAACCCCAAGCCACTGAAACGTGAGTAGCGAGCGCTGCATGATGTCACGCCCGGTATCAAGTTATTCGCTTTGTCATGTTGGGGCCGCTATTACGTTTATCACGCACGCTTCTTGGTTGGTTTACCAAATACCGTTGAAGAGAAGGTGAATTAGTTGAGCTAACACAGACTTGCTGTGTATTCATTCCTCTCCTCGTATGTTTGCGCCGAGCAGTTGGTGCATGCGTGATGCGTCTTGATTTTCTGCACCGTGTTCACCCCGTGAAAAGAATTATACCAAGCTGGCAGATTCTGCATGATGCGGGACCCTTCTGGAGGAAGGAACACCGACTACCGGTCGCTGTTCTTTCGTTCGACGGGAAAAGTGCTTGAGCCTCAATGCACGACTATAGATGCCCAGCCACGCGCATAGCGTTCCTGAGCGTGGCTTGTCTGCCCAGCGCTGTCTTGACCGTCACTATCACTTCCTGTCGTATGCACGAAGCAGCAGCGCGCCCCACCGTTTCATTTTTGTTTCTTCCTGCTGAATAAGTTGGAAACTTCATCATTTAGCTGCATGGCATCGTAAGTCCTTAACGCTTTGCGAGACAACCTACTCCACTGGATGTGAGTGTTTTACTCGCATGCTGTTCCACGATTCGCATAAACCGGAGTGTTGGAAAAGCCTACTTTTAACGGAAGCTCATACATGACATGGCGTAATGCTTTGGATTCTGCCTACACTATCTGTTATGTACTCGCGGCTCGCTTTGCGCCGGGCGATGCGTGCATACTATACGTCGTCACGCTGAAATTCCAGAAGGGCAACAGGAGCTGTTTGCACGAGCTAACAAAGTATTCAACCGGAGCCTATGCTGTCGCTTCTCTTTACGAAAGGACATACTTCAATATCAGTAATATAGCGGGCTTCCATAGAGTTCATCTGAGCATTTCTTTATTCTATATACTGCAGGGCAACATCTGTTGGTAAAAGTTCCACATATAATTGTACGTTTCACACGCGCCCGCGTGGTACCGAGGTTTTATGGTGATTTTGATGTTATATATATTCGAAGGTCGCAGGTGTGGTTCCTGCTCACGGCAAGTTACCTTTTCACCCACTTTGATTTCTTCACATTTATATTACAATGCAGTCTAATAAACTGCCCTTCACATTCCTTGACATTATTGTCTGTTAGATGTCATTAATATTGTGCCAAAAATGGGAAAGGAGCCCTTAAGTATAAGGCGCGAAGGCGTGAAAGCGTGTGCGTGTCTGAAAGCGATGAATGTGTAGCCTAATATATGTGACATGTGAAAGTCATCAGGGCTCGCTCAAATGTACTAACATGTATCGGGTTATTTTGGAAATAGAGAAGCACCATGCACTTCGCCAGTAATTTAATGAGGCATATTCATGTCGTATGCTATATATATATATATATATATATATATATATATATATATGAACGCAGTAATGTTTGCTATAGGACCAGGTGGGAGTGCGCGTACACGAAGCGAAAAATATTCACTGCTTTCTTTTAGTCGGCGTTTCGCATCGTTGGACCCCTCACTGCCCACGAGGCGAATGTAGTGAAGCGTATACGGAAAATGCCCGGAGCTGTAATAGGGTGGTATATACACCTTCGAAGTCGCTGCCAGCGCCGCTTTCACTAGAGCGGGCATATATATGTCGCTGCTCGAAGCTGGTCCTGTGGGTGAGGAAATTGCGGGCGGAGGTCAGCCGTCCTACTTTTTTGTCCACTGGTTTGTCGTGCAGTGCCCGACGCCGACCGAGCATGGTCTGCACGTTGGCAGCCCGCGCACTTTCCGGCGCCCATTAGCTCGGCTGTAGTCGAGTCTCACGCAAGCTTTGCTCACAAGCTGGTTGGCACCTGAATCTCTAGGCACTGAATGCTGCCTCTATTCTTGTACGACAACTGCCCTGCACCCGATTTCGAAGGCAAAATGGTCTCAGCAGAGAGGAGTGAATTCGTTTTAATAAGTCTGGCTAGTAAACAATAATTTCTTGGGGCAAAGAAGACGCAACGTGGTATCTTGTTTGGGAGAAGCACATATATAACACCCTTCATATCTTTTTGTTATCGCCTCTCTCCACGCAAAAAAAAAAAAAAAACCCTTGGCAATATTTGCGGCGGTGGGGTACACCTGTGCGTCCTGGGCATATTCGCTTATTACTTCCCCGAATATAACGTTCTTTGAGTAGCCGTTTTGTGCGGGCAGAATCCGAGACCGCCGTGTCGCTAGAAATTGCCGCTGTTTGTAGAGCGAAAGTCACGCTCTGTGTCTTCCACATTCCGATATTGTGTCCGTCTGCATATTTTTAATTCCTACAGTACTGGCGCATTCATATAAACAGACGGCTTATACTCGCTCATCAAGCTCCCTCGCGATCTTCCACCGCGCAGCGGCAGCGAGTGAAGTGAATGTTCTACGCGGGCAACTTTAACGTATGTCATATCTTAATTATCGATCAGGGCTCGTCTTCATCGGCTTACAAATGGGCTTGTAGTTGCTGAAGAGCACCAGCTAGAGTGAATTATATCAGGAGCCCGTGCTTAGGCTGCGAAGAATATGACATCATTGTGTCGCACTGGCCGCCTGGGTCAACTGTTCACGCCTTGCCGTAGCCGATAACGATTCAGCAGGGTCGGTTACCATAAAAGAAACCGCGACTCTGAGTGTGAGCGGTCGCGTAGAGTACAAACCGTTATGATACGGTCCGATGCGAACTTTTGCAAAATTGATTAATCTTGCGACTTCATCATGAAGTGGTAGAGCCCCAAGTTTGGATATTTGCTTGAAGTCCATCTTGAAGTGGCTTTAACCGGGATAAGACAAGCACAGATGACGGCAAAACATCGAGTTCAATGTAGCGAGGTCTGCATCTTCCATGCAGTTCAGCCTGCCACGAGGTCTCTGAAGGCAAGGACAAGCTCGCACTCACTGGAGCGTATATAGCGCACACCACTCGCGTCAAACGAGAACTTACAGCGTGTTCATTGTGACGAAGGTTGTTCAGACATGAAATCTTTTATTACCGCGCTGAATATTCTACCCCGACTCCATAGTTCCGAAAATCAAGGCATTCGCGGACACTGCTTGCAAATATCGTGCAACAAAAGTATTTTCAATATTTTTTCATACGCTACTGTAAGGGTACGCCGGTGTGTGCGTGACCTTGTATGATTGTGTTGTCACTTTGTATACAACCTTCTTTTAAGTTAACCTGACCACTGTATGAAGCCTTCATCTAGGAAAACATCGCTGGCTTTTCGTTGAGGAGGCTCTTTCATACCAAGGCCACTGTTGGACGGGTGGAGCAAAAAATTAGAAAAATGAAATATGAAGTGAATGCGGCCACCATTTTGGCGTACGTTCAAGTTGCCCGTATTCTACGCACTGTTCTTTTTTTGGCGCTATGTAAAGAAAGTCGCTCATTACAGAATCCACTTGAATGATTTACGTCTTTATTGTAAAGGGGCGCCAAACGCGTTTTTTTATCAGAAATGCGGGATATGGGAAAAATGTTTATTCTTACGATACATACATTTATGGCTGCTGGCTGATCTCATCTAGCTTTCCAGATCGTCTATGTATCTGCCTCCTTGCATCCTACTACTGCTGCACGCCGGCAGCTCTTACGTTACAATGAGGGCCAGTGGAAACTATACATCCTTTGCCGGAGTAAATCAACGTCCTCGTCACGTCTACACTGGCAATCCCACCGACACCTTACTGCATTGTGATTTTTTTGCTTTCATAGAGCTTTACATCCAGCTATAGTATAACATTCTTGGTTACGTCTTATTTCCAGAGATCTTGTAAGCTTCCGGAGTGATACGGGGAACTGTAATGGTTCTTTAAAAGTGCTCCGATGATTATTAGATTTTCCCGCAGGTTAAACACACACACACACACACACACACACACACACACACACACACACACACACACACACACACACACACACACACACCACACACACACACACACACACACACACACACACACACACACACACACACACACACACACACACACACACACACACACACACACACACACACACACACACACACACACACACACACACACACACACACACACACACACACACACACACACACACACACACACACACACACACACACACACACACACACACACACACACACACACACACATGGCACCTGCATTTTAGAGCAAGAACGGAACTTTGTGGAGATGGGATCATTTCAACGGTTAGAAATATGTAATACGGCACACGTATCTTCGGGTCACGAAGAAACGGATGGCAACGTCAACTTGTCGTACGACACGCTCTCATTTCGTTCTTTGGTTGTCCTTGGGAAACGCAGCATCGCGCAACCGTTCGGATTTTCAGCCCTACAGATTGAAAATATCCAGTGCGCAAAATGCGTCACATATCCACGCTGTAGTTCACAGACACAGAAAACGACGGTCTTCTAGAGTCGGGCTTGGCAATCCATGTCTGTCGAGCGACGAGAGCAAGCGTAAGCACGTCTTCATGGCGAAACACACCGGTCTAAACGGAGGGACGTCATAGCCCGCGACAGACACAGTGAGCAGTCCTGAAAGTACCTAGGCGGCATTGTCTCTGAGTAACACTAACCCGCAATGGTTTGTCGCCGCTAGTACGTTGAAGAACGGGCGGTCTTTGGCCCAGTCATTGCGAGCCGCGAAATGAGAGGTCGTAGGCTCGACTCCCGGTGGCGGAACTTTCTTGTTGTTGTTTTTGTTTCCCCTCTGTTAGGGCACATTATAATCGTCATATCCGAGACGGAAATACGTCGGTGGAGCCGTGGTGAACCCTGTCATGTAACACTTTCATATTTAAAAAAATTAGAAAAAAAAACTTATTTTGTTGATAATCGGCCATATACATCTGATAGGTTGTCTGTCGTGATATCTACGACGTTAGGCAGCATCCAATCGGAGGGAGTTAACCTGCGGGGATATCGCTGTTCTGCTGAACAGTGATTGATTGGTATGTGGG